AGCCAGCCAACACAGATGAAGCTGTGCCACTACATGTTAGAAATAAACCAAAGTGAACATTGTAACTCTGCAACACTCCCAATTAAATCTGGGCTTCACTGCACTAACATGGACTACACCTGTGGATTATTCATTGCTTGTTGGCTGACTTATATTTAAATAGGTTTAACTATTTGGTCTTTTTCTTACTTATATAGGTCCATTCATTAGTGTTGTTTGGCAAAAAGTTCCACAAAATCACCTTTACCTAAAAAAAAAAACCTTGTCCAGAGTGTGTCTATTGTATATGAGCCTATTTGTATCTCATGCATGTCGTGCTTAACATTTGCAAACAACAATCTCTCATGAAGTTATGATCGGAAGCACTTCATTCAAACAAGGCTCACCTAACTAATGGTATCCGACAACACTGGACAACACGATGTGCTGCCCGTTTATTATCATACCCTCGGTCCAGGATGGAATTATGACGATATCTGGGATGATCCAATAAGTGGGCTTCAAGACAGCGGTGAGTCTGGGTGTGAAAACTAGACTATGTACTGGACCAGCACCATCTACATGAGGACTAACTTATCATGATTAACTAGTTCAGTTCTCAGACGACATGCTCTGCAACAATGCGATTCTCTTTGATGTGCCCTGATTAACGTCAGACGGTGTGTGAATAAGTCAGTGATCAGATCTCAGGTGAGCAGGTCATTGACAAACAAACAAACATGTTGCCTTCCGGTGCTGACCGACGCTTGGCCCGTGAGCCGTAACACTCGGCTGACTGTGACTTTAAACGGGCAAAAGTTTTTCCTGGAATCAATTTTGGGGAATTTCGTTCCGACAAAAACCAGAATTATGACATTATTCTGTAACAATAAACAGGCTGAACGCAGCAACGGCCCAACAAGCTGTGGTTTGGTGAAGACACTGACGAGAAATCTGATTTTTTTACTACAAATTATTTTTTTCCCAATTTTTGAAAAGTATTCTACATGGTTTGTTTTGTATTATTACTGCAGCATTCACCTACATGTGTTTCAGAAAATATCACTAGTTGATTTCAATGTACTATAAACACAAATTATTTGATATACATTTGCGCATTCTGAATCAATGGCGTGATGAGAAATAACAGTGCATATTTTGGGTTTCCACTGTTAATAGCTCCTGAGAATGTGGTTCAAAAAATATGTTGAAAAAAAAAATCTATCTCTGACAGTATTTGACGTATCCAGCTAAATTTCCACAAATATATTTAGAAATATCTATATTTTACTCTATTAAAAATTAAGACAAATCTAAGGTGGTCGAGCAAGAACTGTTGTAAAAATGTAACTATTTGAGATGGAATGACCCATATGTGAATATACCTGCTCATTTCAACTCACTGAAGTCATTAACACACTTACAAAACAAATATATGGCTCAGTATAGGGAACGAGCAGGGAGCTGTGTGGGGGGAGGCAGAAATGATGAACGGGACGTGTTTGTGGTGGGGAGTTTCAGCAGACTGAAAGCAGAGCCGTAGACGGGTGGTCAGCTGTGTTTGCAGCTCCTACCCACACCCTGCTCCCCATCCCCCTCCCAGAACAGGCACATGATGTAACAGCAAACAAAGGCAAATGGTGTCATACAATGTCCTACGAAAGAAAAAAAAAAGAACAGGACTCTGTTAGCTGACTTGAGGAACAAGTAGCACACCCATCATATGTAGAACCCATGCACAAGGGGACAATACATGCTCATTTGCTCTATAAAACACTATGGCCCCAGGGGTCAAGGGGTGGCTGGGGCTTTGAGCAATGTCCTGGTTAGCTCCAGGCCCTGCTGTTACTAAATACTGTATGTGCTCTGGGGAGGACACCAACAGCAGCCCCACCCACCCTCTCTTTACCATTCACTTGCACACATAAATTCCAAGGAAGATGTCGCAACACCTCACACATCAAATGTTATTTACTGCAACTGTTGTCTACAAGTGTTACCACAACTGGGTAGGAATGTCCTGATCAAAATGTTATGCCTGGATCAGAGTCATATAATCCAACACCATTTTCCTAGATAATACACACTTCAAGTACATTAAAGTTACTAAAATCAATCCAGTGTGCATACTTGACAACTAAGAACCTCATTAACAACAAAATTGCATTTTAGCATCCAAGCTGTTCCTTAATGCTACCAGGTGGTCCCAAACCTTGTTGTAAATCTCAAAAAGTGCACCGTCTGACATGTAGTGTCAAGAGGGTTGGGCACACTGTGGCTCCACAGCACAGCAAAAACCTGTAGTCTCAGCATGTCAGAAAATGTGTTGTAGATTAGCTGTCATAAGATTTATCGTTTGATACGGTCACATCGCGAGGAGGCAGGATCTTTGACTCCAGGGAGCACTGTGTTAAGCATTGTGGGAGTTTAGTGATAAAGACTTGTGTGATGCTTTCTGGTCCCTGGCCAGAGGTCATGTGTTTATGACAGGCCAGGGTCGACTAGCACAGCATTCCTATCCTATCCCAGTGTCATTTGTAATAGCTCAACCTTTGCGGCCTATATCATGTGTTCACTGACAACATTTCTGAGTATAGCAGAATTTAGTACTTTTAATTACTGACATTACTTTGTAGATATCGGTTTTCAATATGGCATGAAAGAGTGTACTTTGTAAATTCTTGTCAAAAAAGCCAAATAATAATAATGACCATAGTTCAATGTTGAAAAGCAATATAAGGAGAAACCTTGAGTGAATATTTTTTATAGGAATTGTACTGTAGCTCTGGATGTAAACACTGCAATGCCAAAACAACTACATCTTAGTCATGTCACACACTGCCCTCAGAAAGACATAAGTCTTTCAGAAATGGTATGTCAGAGCATCATACAAGACAACAGAATGATTCTTTCGCCTTCAGACCCATGGATTTTTAAATACACCACAGATGTTTCTAAATAAATGTACAGTGTACCAGTGTTCCAGAAATAGCAGTAGTGTAGTGATGGGACACTGATAATTAATTAGTAATGTTGAAGATGCACTGAAAACAATAATGTGAATTACAGAGAAGAGAGAAACTACCATCATTCATGGTTTTGGAGTGCATGTGCACGCACAGGCCAATATGTGGAAGCAGCTCTATTCATACTTAAACAGAGCCGCGGCAGTCTGCTGCAGGGCCAGTGGCATTTCCCCGCACAGAAAACACAGAAAAACACACAAGGAAACAGGAGCTGCTTACAGATGAAGCTGTGGCACTGAATCTGTGTGCCAGGCACAGTGTGTAAACATAACATGGGATTTCTGGAGAATCAAGGACTCTGTGCTGTGTTTGGGCTCTGTCGATGAAAGCATGCACAAACAAAGCTCCTCGGAAGACTATCAGTGACTACTTTAATTAAAACTCTTAACGATGACTAAAAAAAGTTGTGGATGACCGAGAATCTCCTCAGCACAGCTTGTTTTCCTGGCACATGCGTAGTTCACGTGCATGGCGTGCAGACAGTCTGCAAGGTCACTGAATTTGGGCTGCACATGGATTGTATGCACAGACTCTCACAGACTTAAGTGGATGATGACGTCTATGTACCCATCAGGACGCAGAGAGCATAAACTGGCCTATATCTGAAATCTAGAATAAAACAGTTTAATTTAATGTTTTGTCCCAGTTTGAAACATTCAGGTTGAGTGTAAACCGGCACACTTTAAGCTGGAGTGAATAGTGGCTGTCCCACACAGAGGGAAGACATGATTGTAAATATGGGGTTACTATGCACAGACACAGTGTCTGCCTGAACCACTCATAGTGTTGCATTTGGTTTCACATGTGAAACATGTCAGAAAAAGCTGAGTACTTAATAAAAAAAGAAAGCTTGAAAGAGGTCAAACGACTAAAAAAGTTTCTGGAACATTAGGAGATAAAGAATTTATGCGGAAACTGTGGAATCAGATGTCTGCCAATGTAAGCCAACTAACTTCTTCAATATTAAACAAAAATACTAATTTGAAAAGCAAAAAGAATCTCAAAAGTAAAATACATTACTTGCAAACAAGTTATGTCCTTTTGCTTACAGTTCCTGCTGGTTCTTACATGGATCAGACCTGTAGCTTCACTCTCAGTTCTATGATTTCCCTGTCAGCTCTCGTGTTTGCACTGCTTGACCTCTTGTGTGGGTGCTGTCTTTCTTTCAGCTTTACATTGCGTAGATCATGCTACATAAAGTGTACAGTATGTCAGCATACTAAGACTCACTCCAGTGAAGGCTGTGAAACAGTAGGGTACTGTCCTGCCACAGCATGTTTGCATGTATGTATTCTGACAGTTCCTCCAGAGCCCTGCAGACCAGCAGAAGGCTCTCAGTGTAAGCTGTCATCAAAGAGGGATTATACAGCAAACCAACATGATCCGAACACACACAGCAGATCGACTAAAAATATTTAGTACTTTCACCAAATCCACAGTAAACTCTCAGCCTAAAACTTGATAAACTAAGCTATGGCGGTACCAAAACAACCAAACTGTCTCAGGCCAATGGCTGACCTGAAGTCACTTCAACTGCATAGCTCTACTCAAAGACATTCGCTACCAATATAGGATGCATGTTTCAGATTTGTGTCTAGTTCAATAAAGGTGACTCTATCCATCTTTTTTTTTAAGACATAATAAATAAGACATAGTCGAGAAAAACAGTACTGGCAGGTAGAGAGAGATGGGCAAGGAAGGGAACACAGACAGCACACAAAATGGGTCACGGATAGATGAAAAGAAAAGGTTAAGTACCTGTATAACAGTCTGGTTGAGGGTCATGTTACGTACATAACCTGGTCCATTCTGGCCTGCAACTCGAAAGCATCAGGCCGGTCCTGAGGGTTGACAGCAAGCATGTCTTGAAGAAGTTTCCTAACTTCATCCGACATGCACGACCTGCGTTTCAATGGGATGTTCAGTACCATCTTTGGATTCTCTAGCAGTGCTTCACCCACTGGTACAATGTCCGCTCCCTGTCTCACGTATGTTCCAAGCAGCTCCCGCTTAGACTCTGCATCAATGAAAGTAATTCTCTCCAACATAGCCCAGATGATGATACCCAGAGCAAATATGTCAGCTTTGGCTGTGTAGTGGCCCTCCCACACCTCTGGAGCCATATAGAAGTCTGAGCCACACGCAGATGACAGCCAGTACTTGTTGAGGTTGACGTTTTTATTCTTGTCTTCTCCCTCTTTGCCCTCGCTGGCATTTCCTAAACCAGCGCAAACTTTACTCAGGCCAAAGTCAGCCACCTTGAGAACCGGAGTGCCTGACTTCTCTGAAATAAGGATGTTGTCTGGTTTGAGGTCTCTGTGCACAATGTTGTTTTCGTGCAGGAAAGCAACGGCGCTCGTGAGCTGGAGCATGAAACTGCTGTTAGTTTGTGGGTCGGGCCGTCGAGACAGGATGAACTGGTTGAGGTCCCCTCCTTCACAGAACTCCATGACGAACCACAGGTAACACGGCTCCTCTGGAGGACTGAGCACTCTCTCACCTGCAGGGGCAACACATCAGTCAGTCACACACTGATGCAATGACATACAGTTATTCCAACAAGATAGATTTGGCAAAAACAAAGATAGGTGGTAAGTCTGTCGCCTAAAAATCTCATTGAAGGCGATTATTAAAGGGCGTTTATTAAAACGTTGCATGTGGGTGGTAATTACTGATTTACGACAGACTTTGTGGCACCAGTTGAGAGCACTGCTTACATGCTATGACATGTATTGCAGATCACAAATAACAACCAATGTGTCAAAATGACTTGAAGGGTAGCAGACGAAGACAGAGGCATTCACAAATTATAGACTGCCCCCTTATGTTACTAGAACCACTCCAAAGAGATCATTGACTGAGATGCATTTTTCAAAAGCTTTTTGAATAGATCAAGAGCCGCTACTACCGAGAAGTGCCATTGGTACACAGCTGGACACTGATAAAACAAGAAATCATTGATAGGTTGCAGTGACACAGCTAAATCACTGAACTTCACAACACTGCCTTGATGTGTTTAAAGAAAACAACACCCGGACTGGATCAGCACAAGAGAGTCAGCACAACACATAAAGACAGGCTTTACAAAAAAAAAGCTAAACCTTTGTCAATATGTGTGTGTGTGTGTGGATTTGGCAAAAGTGGCAGCATTGTCAGAGGAATGTGAAAAGTACCTATTTGAACACAGCCAACCAGACAGACTCCATTTTAGTGAGTCTGCCCCCAGGAGCTCCCTGACTAAAACCTACCCATCCCCCAGCGAGCCTGTGTCATGGCGACAACTATTCTGCTCTAAATAACATTTAAAGACAAAGCTACTCCTACGAAACTAAACCTCACGATCCAACAGCAGTATTTTTGGATCACTAAGTCTTTGCTACAGGCTAACACAGCGCATGACAAGACAAAAAGAGAAAGCAGCAGGACTAAACATCCTCCTCTGGGTTAGCTAAAATACGTGATTTCACTAGTAGAAGAAGGATGGATGATGTGAAGAGAAACTACGCATTAACCTGTATCATAAACTGTTGTCTACCTTATGAGAAAATTACACTAAACAATCAGGCGGTTTAAAATGACATTGTGTATATTTGATAACCACAACCGATTATTAAAACACCAGACGAGTGCGTTACTTGTCGAGGGTTGTTTTTAAATTATTAATATCTGGCATTAACTAAAACCAAAAAAGCTCTTACTCACTCTGATTGTGCTAAAGTGACTCAGCTCAAACAGCTAAGAGGAAGAGCTAGTCGCGCGAGCCTCGCTCACCTTTCAGCGAAGTTTCCACCAGGCGCAGGTACTGTTTGGACCGTTTATTTCCGTGGCTCATTTTCTGGGCCATACCGTTCCTCTGTAGCACACATTCTTCCAGCTGCACCACATTTTCATGCCGTTTCTCCAGACTTGCCAGCGCCCAGAACTCCTGCAGGGCGAGCTCCACGTTTTCCGGTGCGTCGCATCGCAGTTTCTTCACGGCAACTTTGGCCCCCGACCTCCGGGCCACAGCCTCGTACACCACGCCGTACGTGCCCCTTCCCACCTCCCGCAGCAGGCTGTAGCGGGGCGCCCGGACCCTCCGCTCCATGCTGCTCTGCTTGAACAGACCGATGTTCTCCTCCATGTCATGGTCTCCTTCCGTGTTTCCCACGTTCAGACACCGCAGCACGCCGGACTCGTCGGCTCGTGCACCAGGGTAGGCTCGCGCGCTCCTCGTGCGTCTCCGCCAGTTGTCACCGCCAGCTGCGTCCATCCGGCCCCCCGTGAACCCTCCACCGGCTACACGTTCAGCAGAAACGGTGACATGCTGTCAGCCGGCGGCGTCCACGCCATTCCTCTCTCTCATTTATCCAAAGGGAGAATGTGAGGAGCTGAGCAAGAGGCGCTGGAGTGGGAGGAGGTATGAATGAGCAAAAGGCTGCTGCTGTGTCAGAGAGTGTCCGCTCAACATTTTCAAAAAAAAAAAAAAGAAGTATGCTGTCACTTGTTAAATTAATATAATAAATGGGATTAAATACAAATCTGGTGTACTGTAAAGAAAACTAATGTTTGTGCTTTTAAGTTAGAAATATGACAAATGTAGCGTCTTAGCAATGAAGTGTGAGGTAATAAACTGTCAAATCAAGGTTGTTGTCATCATCTATCAGAGGTATTTAGCCTGTCTGATGGTTGTCTTCAGTAAAAAAAAAAAAAGACACTAAATTAACTGTGGTCAGATGGGAAACACAAAACTCAGACGTCTCAGTGGCATTACAGTGTGTGATATACTAATTAATGTTGAAAAACTACCGACTGCTCTTTTAAAGCATCATAGTACTTTCGATTAATTTCCAATGTGGCGTATTTTTACTATGATTTTTCTGTTTGGTCAGCACCAGTTTGGCTTTCTTTGTATTTGTTAGCGACATTTAGTATTTTTATTTCGGAAGGCAGCAGCACACCACTGCCGGTCTGTTGCGGCCGCTTGACGCCGCTCGAGGGGCTGTGAGGTAACAGGGTTCAGATGTACCACTGTTAAAGTACACGGGGTTCCAAACTGCAGTTGAAATGGCAATTTCTTTGTCAGCACACATTACGAATAATATCACGTAGACATAATATTCACCTTATAAATTATGCTCTACGTTTTTTGCAGAGACACGTCTTGACGACATCTTTGTTTGAGGTAAATCACAGCGTTGGTGTTTTACAGAACAGAATGTCAAGCGTGATAAGGGGTCGTTTAAATATTTTCATATAATGTAGTAAGTCATGAATGCACTGAAATTAGAAACGTACGCATCGTTGGGTTTGAGACCTATTTACAGTCCTTTGTTTACATTTGCCCCCCTCTTCCTCCCCCCCTGCCACCCCTCCACAAATGGTTTCTTCCATCCAGCTCCATCCAGCGTGGTAGTTCACGTGCGGCTGTCCTGAGCCACCGGGGCACGTGTCGGACCACGCTGGACGGCTGACGTCATACAGTCGGGAAACGAACATCTGTTTTCTGTAGTGAAAATGAAAATGAAGATGTACTTCTCGTCTACAAAATAAATAAATGTAATTGTTAATAAATATGTTTTTTTTTCTTCCATACTGGCACCTATCAGGCTACATATCACAATGTAAGGCCCCATAGATGTAGGTTTATCAGTAATGTTCTGGTTTTGCTCATTGGATGCAGTGGTGGAGCCAGATAATTTAGTTTTGGTTTTTTTCCCAATCCCTGAAGGCCAAACAGTAATTTTATTGGTAACTTACTTGTATCATTTGCGTATACAGGCAAGACTGCCATGTAGAAACACACACACTCATACACAATATAATAAGCTTTTTTATGTTGCCCTTAAATGATTAAAACCTACAATTGTTGCTGGAGTTCTGCATTTTTAACTGCTGATGAAGCTCATTATTTTATTGTTTTTTTGTTTTTTTTCAGTTTAAATTACATAAGCACACAAACCTAAATCGTACACACTGCAACAAATAAAAATATGTACAAACACATTCTTTATATCTTTAATACATACAAAAATGTAGATTTTTTATACCCGTAACAACAAAATCTTGAAGTTGCAACAAAATCAGTGTCAGCACGTTCTGGTTTGTCAGGCCTACTTGGCTGTATGTGGTTGAACGGGGAGTATATGTGCTGATAAAATGCCTCTGTATGGAAGGAAAATATGTAAAAAAAAAAAATGCTTCCACAAAAAAGTTCTGTGGCAAAAATAATACAGGCTTCATTGTTGATGTGTGCAGTGAGAGCTCAGTCAGTGGTAGCTCTGGTCCAGCACCTGTTCATGTGCTGTTTGATGTATTATTTTAATCTTCCAGGAGGTACACGTGAAAACCTCAAGTTTGCCTCTGAACATTTGTCTTCAACTACAGCACAGTGTTTTCAGACGGGTTTTAACTGCTACACACTGGACAGTCCCAGTGCAAGGACTGGATCAGGTCTCTGCCTGGAGCCAGTCTCTTTCAGAACTGATAGACAGCTGGATGTCCTGTGTCTGGGATCAGTTTGTGTCTTTTCAACAACAGAAAACAGCCTTTTTGTTGCCCTGTGTTGACATCAGCCCTCATGAAACAAAATGTGTGATGGCCAAGGATGACTTCATCTGTCTGCTGTGTCCTGCTGCTGGAACGTCTGTTTTTTCAGTCTGTGCCCAGATAAATTCCATCTCCGCTGCACCATGAGCTATACTGTATTTATTACCTTCAGACTTGTGAAACCAAGACGTGCATTTAACTTCTGCCTCCCTGTGCTTATAAGCAGAACTGCATCCTCCAGGCAGAAAAAAAAATCAAATTTGAATTTCAATGTATTATTTAATACAGTCTGTTCATGACTACCTCAGATTTTCTTGCAAATAATCGTCACTCTTGAATTCACATTCAGTGGCTCAATGAAGTGGAGGCCATTGTGAATGTAAAACAATGGCAGAAAGTGTGCAGCAGAGGCTGAGATACTTGTAGCTCTAAAACACTTGATCTACACTTCCCATAATACCACTTAGTAGTTTCCTTTCTAGAGCACAGATATAGTCCAAAACGTTCTGGACAGCAGAGGGAGCAGCGAATGCACAACTATTTTTGTACATCATACATCAAGTATATGTGTATCTGTTACAACACATGTATGGTCCACATGGTTGAACAGTTTTTGGGACTCTTGCAGACAAGAGCAGAGGACCAGATTTACACCAAAT